TTTATAGTTACGCCTTCTGCAACGCTGTGACGGCCGTGTGGACCTGGTGGTTCGCCCACTCGAAACTGCTGGAACTCGGCGACACGGTGTTCATCGTGCTGCGGAAGCGCCACCTCATGTTCCTGCACTGGTACCACCACATCACCGTCTTGGTCTACACCTGGTTCTCCATGTCCAACTTTTCCAGCCACGGCCGATGGTTCGTCACCTGCAACCTGGCCATCCACGCCGTCATGTACTCGTACTACGCAGTTCGTGCCCTCGGGATCCGCATTCCCAGGTCTATTTCGATGGCCGTCACTTCCTCGCAACTCCTGCAAATGATCCTGGGCATCTTCATCAGCGTCAGTGCGTACGGGTTCAAGCGTCGCGGGGTTCCGTGCTCGGCAACCACTGCCAACTTGTTCGCGTCCTCGCTCATGTACATGAGCTACTTCCTGCTCTTCCTCAAGTTCTTCTTCGACGCGTATTTGGCAAAGTCCCTGGCGAGAGCGAAAAAGACCGACGGAGACCAGCTCGTCAAGGCGGCGATGACCAAGTTCGTGGAGAAGGAGACTGCGGATGTGGCAGCCAGGCTCAGGAGGATCCGCCACGCCGCGACGTATTAAGAAGAAAAATGGCACTACGCGAAATGGCAAGCAACTGCACACGGGACAGAAAAGAAGAAGAAGAAGATGGGGAGACGAGTTCTTCTAATCGACTGCGAAAAAACGAGTTTGTTTGCTTATTGATGCACCCGGGTTGCACTGAGGACTTTCATTCTGCTTCCGCGGGCCCGAAAAACTTTCGAGCACAGCTTGAGGCATGGCAGCAGCAGCAGCACAGAAAGGCTGTTCGTTTGAAGTTGATGGAACTGCGCAAAGCAATTTGATTTCATGCTGTGCGAGACATTATGAGTGTTTCTGTGTGTGTGTGTTACGTATGTATGTGTGTGTGTGTGAACAGTGCCTCGATCGTTGGCAAGATAGCTTTTGTTTCTGCCAAGATCAAAGATCAGAAATCCTATCGCGGTATTTCCTCTTCCAGAATTTATCCGTTTCCCATATAAATATATACTGGAGCTTCAAATATGATGAATATACCGCATCTACTCGAGTACCACGCGCCCTCGAGGGGGTTTTTTTTCAAACATTTTTAAAATATAATTTTATAACTGAGTACAACAAAAATGTTTCCCGTACTTTTAGTGACTCTAAAAGTTCAATATTGAAAATATAAAAGCATTCAGTTTTTCGAATTTAGACATGACTTTGTCCAGAGTTGAACTCATTTGCATTTATTTGTCCTAATTTCAAATCTGAAGAATATGCTGTACTCATTTAGTCAAGTACCACGCACCCTCCAGGGGTTTTCAGTCGCTCATTTTTATAAAATTTCATATACTTGAGTAAGACGCGCACTCCATTTTTTATGACTGGAAAAGTGAAATATTTCAAAAATAAGAACGCCCAAATTTTAAAATTTAGACATGATTTAATCATGAATTCAGCTGATTTGTATTTCTTTGTCTTAATCACGAATCTGATGAATATATCGCACCTCATTCAGTCGAGTACCACGCATCCTCGAGGGGTTTTCAGTCAAACATTTTTATAGAATTGTATTCTTGAGTAATAAGACGCGCTCTCCATTCTTAGTAATTCTAAAACTGCAATATTTCAAAAATAAGAACACCCAGATTTTCGAATTTAAACATGAATTCATCCTGAATGCAGCTGATTTTGTATTTCTCCATCCTATTTACACATCTGATGAATATACCGTACCTCATTTAGTCGAGTACTCTGAACCCTCGAGGTTTTCAGACAATTTTTTTTCTTCATAAAATTTTATACCTGAGAATAACTCGCGCCCACATTTTTAGTGACTCTGATTGAAATATAAAAAAAAACAGTTCGAACAGTCAGATTTGAATTTAGACATGAATTGATCCTGAACTCAGCTAATTTTTAATATTTTTCATTACAATGAGTTTTTTCTGTTTAAGAAGTTCCAAAATTTCCCATTAGAACGAAATTTAATGCACATCTAAACTTTTTACACCCACTTGTTTTCCTCTCACTTTTGAGCGAAAAGGTGCGCAATAAAGGTACTCGAGTGAATGCGGGATGTGCATGATGAAAGAAAGACCGCGAGTTGACGATTATAGGTGGTAGTTGTGACCCTATACTATGTAGATCCAAAGGTAGATCTAGCAGAAATTTCCATCAAACTATTTGGTACAAAATTGCGATCGAGCAGTAGTGGCGGCCAGTGCATGCGTAGAAGGTCCGAGTTGTAAATCAATATGACGACTTCCGCGTTTGGTGTCATCCACGTTTGTAACTTTGGTGGGAACAATTTTATCTTGTTCGATTCTTTGTTTCTTGCAATCGAAAAAAACAATACATTCCAATGTTTCTTTTCTTGCTGTTTAATCACAAATAATTGCGTATATAAAGATATTGTACTGTGGATATTTCATTTTCTGTCCACATGTTTGAAGCAGCTTATTGACACAACTTGGATTGCATTTTGGTACAAAAATATATAAAAAAATTTATCATCTCTGTCCGCAAATTTAATTTTTTTGCGTTTATACGAAATACGGTGAAAGCAAAATCCGATCCAGTAATCATTATTCATCTTTTATTTAAATGATTTTATTTAGAGACAAAGAGGCTTCGATTGCTCAGAACTTGCCATCATGATCGATGGAGTTTTTTTTTTGTATGGGCAAAATAGATGTTTCAAATCTGTGAATTCAAACTAGTAATATATACGTAAATATTACAAGTTGGTGCCTAGCCTGAAAGATAGTATTTCCAAAGCAGCCTTTTCTGTTACTACGGTAAAAAAAAATTGCGAGCTTGAAAAGGTTTTGTTGTGTTTTGCAGGAAAAGAAGTGTTGGTGGATGGAGCTTGGGATGTGTTATTATTTTTTCGAGCCAGCAAGAGGGCATGAAGAAAAGTTGGAATGTTGGCAGAGCAATTTTTTAAACAATTTTTTCTCTCATTTGTTTCGAGCAATTATTTGTAAACATTTGGACTAATTTTTTGAGTGAGCCTATGTCCAAAAAAATGCGTGGATGACACCTTTTTTTGTAAGCTGTTGTTGGTGCTATACAAAAATCCTCTCTTCGCTTTTTGTGCAAAAAAGGCGATTTGATGGGTTACCATTGAAATAGTATCGTGTACACAAAATTTGAGTTTTTTTTTACTCTTTCTTCTGAATTGTGCATACGTTTGTATTACTGTACTTTGCCCTAATCACACTCGAGTCTTACGATGCCTTCAAAGCATTTGTTTCAATGCTTTGATCGGCAAAGTAAATTTTATTGAGATTTTCCCCCTTTTTTAATGAACGAAAGTCCAAGTCTTTCAGATTCCACAGGGTGATTTTATTACCGGCGTCGTTCTAAATCAAACTGCTAGTGAAGCAGAGTTTGATTGAAATGGTCTAACATCTAAGTTTTTTTATCAATCAGTGCTGGGGGGAAATTGAAGTTATGCGGAAATTTGTACAGGCCAATGTCAGCTTCGCGGTGTTTCTAATTGTTATTGCTGATGAATCGCTTGGTGCAGGAAAGGAAATCGACAGCACGGTGTTAATTGCCGTGGGGGGAAAAAACAAAGGGTTTTTCACGAAATCTTCAAGCGTGTTTCATTTTTTTTTAATGGGTAACCCTATTTATGATCAGATGAAATGACGACAACCCGGCATCGACCAGAAAGGTATGAAGAATAAATTTCCTTACAGTGCATTTTTTGAATTGAAGTATTTGTAACTCGAAATATTCATCAAGACCGCACGTCAAACCTTCGAAAAAACCACAAATTTGCGACTGATTTTACTCAACTGAAGCCTTGAAATGAGCCACGAAGTATTGTTCAATTTTAACCTCGAGCAATATTCACCATCCGCATCGGTGACGCAAAAAAAGGGGCAAAATCAGCATATATTTTCTTCATTAAATGAAAAATTTGGAAAATATGTGTTATACGATCACTGAGGTAAGTTTTCAATTTATTCTAGTGATTTACTGTATTTGGAATAGTATTTCAAACTGATTTAAAATTTATAAGAAAGCAAACGTATAAGTAATGTACTGTATTAACCTTCCCATTGAACGTTTGGAGGAGTGGCATCCCGATGTTCATTTTCGTTCGCACTTCGACGAGAAAAAATGAAGTAAAAAATGATATAATGTTAAGTTGTAAAACGATCATAAAACTCATTGCTCATGGCAGGACGTAATGGGGAAACAACAAAATTGGGAGCCCTTCTTAATTGCTTGCGATAATATGCTGGAAGGCTGAAGCGTCTAGTTTTAAAGTTTTAGTGACTTCTGTAGAAAAACTTGCAGTATGCAAGCAATAGTGAAGCTTGCATGGCTAGGTGTCGCTGCAAAACGATGACATACGCCTAGAGACGAAAGAACAATCATCAGAAAAACTTGGATTCAATCGAAGCGATATATCATATACCGGTACTACATTCATTTAAATACTGTAGTTTCATTTCTCAATGCTTCATTCTTTCATGGACAGCATTACACAGATCTTCCACTTGTCTCACCAGTATTTGCTGAAGCAATTCAACTTCTTCACGAACTTTGAACGACCCTTTTCTTCCCGCAACGCTCACCAAAAAATCTCCACCATAGCTACTCAAAACGAGTCCAGCATCTATAGAAGAAACAATTATTTTCAATTAGTTTTGTTCGCGTGGAAAATGTTTCTTCAATAACTCGCCTGATGTTTCACTCAAAGAAACGTACGCTGAAAGCGTTTCAAGTGAGCAGTCGAAAACTCTGTGCTTTTTCTCAGTGCCCCTGACATTTGTGAACAATCCGGTGACTTCTGTGACTGAATTTGGAGTAAAAATGTCGGTGATGATCACAGGAGAGCTGTTGAGAGCAATTCTGCACAAGACGTGTAAAGCCCAGGCCAAAGAATCATTCGACGAGTCGTCCAACACTCGAGCGACTGTGTTTAATCTCAGTAATGGGTCATCAATCATCAAGTCCTTGCTTTGAATGCTGTGCATCAAACCAGCCACTCGGTTCCGAAGCTCCAGTTTGTCGCCGGGGATCCAAAAACTTCTCGGGGATCCCACTGTC